TGTATAATTATAAGATGATTTATCTTACAAGTTTTAGATCTTGTGATCAGTCTCATTTCTGATTTTATTTATATTCTCTCTTGATGAGAAACTCTAAACTCTTAACTAGTTTAATTGTTTAAGACATTTTTGGATTATTTGTTATGGTTTTATTTTTCTTTCAGTTTCATCTATCTGTGGTATTGGGTTTTTTTTCAGTCTAATTTTCTTTATGATACATTATTATTTCATACCTTCTTTAGTATTTCATAATTTAGGTCAGAGTCTTTTTTATAAAATAGAGCCTAATTATTTTAATTAATAAATACATTTTGGCAGGGATAGGATCAAACTCAGGCCTTTGTGTATGTCAGTTGTGTTATAGTCTCAGTAACCCCTTGTCTTTGTTAGGGTTCCTATTGCTATGAAGAGACACCATGACAACTCTTATAAAGGAAGACATTTCATTGAGTCTGGCTTACAGTTTCAGAGATTCAATCCATTATCATCATGGTGGGACATGGTACATGCAGGCAGACATGATGCTGGAGAAGGAGCTGAGAAGTCTACATCTATGATCCATAGACTACAGAAAGTGAACTGAGTGTCACACTGAGAAAAGCTTGAGCAAAGGAGACCTCAAAGCCCACCCCAGAGTGACACATTTCCTCTAATAAGTCCACACCTACTCCAACAAAGCCACACCTCCTAATATTGCCACTCCCTTTGGGGACCATTTTCTTTCAAACCATGATACCCCTCTTGCTCTTTTCTGTCCCACCGCCACCCCCCCCCCATTTTCTTCCTTACCTTATCTCCCTGTCTTTCTTTGGAAGCAGGATCTTACCATGTTATCTAGGTTGGCTTGGAACTCCTGTGCTCAAGGGATATTCCTACCACAGGTTCTTGAGTGACTGGGTCTACAAGTGCATGCCAGTATGCCCAGCTTCCTAAACATTTTAAATTTCAACTGACCTGTGACGCTGATCTCTTTTTTTTTTCAATGTTGATCCTTATTGGACATTATTGGTATTTCATCTTTCCTAACAGCTTTTCTAGAAATTGATGTGTAAGATTTTGACATGATTTTTTTTTCTTTGAGACAGGGTCTCACTGTGTTGTTCAGATTCCCAATTTTCCTGTAACCCAGGTCCTCTCCTCCTCAGCACTGGAAACACAGGTGGCAGACACTATAACTGTGTTACATTTAGATGTTTGATTCCTGAGTAATAGTCCCTATGACTTATGATTTATTTTAAACATCTCTTCATGTTTAAAAATTACATGATTTGTTCTAAGAGATTAGGCTATTGCTTTAGCCATATGATTATATCTCCTACTCTTTTATGGATGATGGACAGAGTTCTATTGTGTGTCAGTGCTACACTAGACAATAATCTGATAATAATTTAAGTGTAAAACAAGAATCTAAACGAATGTTAAAATCCAGCTTGGACTATGCAGTTAAAAGCAAATAACTAATTTGGCATGAAAATAACTTTAACTTTTCCACTCGAAGCTAAATTTGTGTTATGTTATAACAAGTTACCCATCAAAATGTACTTTTGACTGCTTTGAGTTTCTCAACTTTAATTATAACATGGTCTTGAATTCAGAAATATAAACATCAAATTTTTTCCCTTCAAAAACATTTTTTTCCTCATATACCTATCTTTTAGAGCTGATTTCATATTCTGTAATCTCTATGATCAAAACTCTCCATGGTGATCAGGCAGGTAACCTCATATAATAAATACTGTAGGGCCTTTGGAAGCATGTGTTGAACTGAAGTTCACACACTCTGCCAAATGGCAAATTGCTCAGTGGGTAGAGGTGTTTGCTGTCAAGCCTACAGACCTGAGTTTGATCCCCAGGACCCACATGGTGTAAGAAGAGAACTGGTTCTTGCAAGTTGTATTTTGAACCATAGTATATATGCATGCGCACACACACACACACACACACACACACACACACACACACACACACACACACACACACAAGAAAATTTCAAGCAATTATATCCTCTGAGTTTAATCTAGTCTCTGTTAAACTTGCAAATTATGATAAAACTTTGTATCATCATCTCCATTATTTTTTTTCTGAGACTCCCACTTTGTAGCTTAGGTTGACATGGAACTCACTATTGCTATGAAATGGTGGCAATCCTTTTGCTTTAGCCTCCCAAGTGCCAGGATTATAGGCATTACTCACCAGACTAGATTCATAGTTATGTTTCTACAAATTTTCATTTTTAACAGATTCTCTGGTAGCTGGAGTTCATTTGTCTTTGAAATCACTTATTTTTATATTTACATCTTTAGTGTAGATGGAGTATGAGTATGGGTACACATGTGTCATGACACATATTTAGAGCTAAGAGGACAACTTTTGAGGGTGTGTTCTGTTTCCACTTTAATTTTGAGGAAAGGACTCTTGTTTCTGTCACTACTGTCTTTGCTTCCTATTTTGCTATGGGTACAACTGTTGCAAACCTGAACTACTGCATCTGGCTTTTTAAAATTTTTTCCATGGGTTTCAGGAATTGAATTCAGATCATCAGGCTTGTACACAGGTACTTTTATCTGCTGAACCTCATTGGCTTTGATATCACTTTTAATCTTTTGGGTGTCTCTTCACTCACATCATGCCTGCACAACAATTTACCATTAAAACGAGCCCTTTGTTTGGTTTTCATAAGTGAAATTGAAATGTTAATTGTGTGCATGATATAATGCCATGGTTATTCAACATCGACAAAATGCACATCAATTTATCCATTAGGAGTTTCAGTTACCCTCATTAAAATATACATCTGTAGGTTGGAGAGATGGCTCTGTGGTTAAAAGTACTTACTATTCTTTCAAAAGATCTTTGTTTAGTCGCAATACTGACATGGTGGTTCACAACCACCTGTAACTCCAATTCCAGGAGATCCAATGCCTTTTTCTGACCTTGGTGGGCTCATGCATGCAAGTGGTACACATATATATCCTCAGGTACATTATACATACATATAAAATTTAAAATATATTTGTTATTTTATATATATATATATATATATATATATATATATATATATATATATATACTCTTACTGTAACAGTAAAAGAAAACACAATGTTAAATCATTCCGGGAATAATGAGCTCATTTCTATGAGAAGCACACACTTCAAAAGTATCACTGGGGTTACAGACACAAGTGTGGCCACACTCAGATTTTGAATCTCCAGCACCCACATTAAAAGCTGGGTGTGGCCACACTTGTGCCTGTTACCTCAGTCCTTCATGGGGGCGGAGACAGGAGAATTACTGAGGCTTCTTGGCTGCCAGCCTAGTTCCAGGTTCCAGTGTCAGACCCTGTCTTAAATAATATGGCAGAGAATGATAAAGCAGGACATCTGATGTAGTTCTCTATCCTCGAGAATACACAGTCATGTGCAGTTGTACACACATGTGCACATATACCGCATAAACAACAAAAACCAATTAAATGCAAGAGACAAAGGGAATATTTAAATGGAGCTTTCAATGAATCTGGCCCACCTTACGCTTGAAATCATAGAAATATTGTCCTCAATTTTTGTGTCCTTCTATATGAGCAGGTCATCCTGTCGAGAGTGATTTCAAAGGTTAAAGACACATGCAATTCATGCCACATGGCACAAAATAGTAACGATTAAAGTGGTTTTCCAGAAGAGGCATGTACTTCAATGTGTGGTGAAAAAGGATTTTTTTTTTCTTGTTGGGAGGTGGTTTTCAAAAGTGGTTAAAGAATTTTTCTGGAATATTTTTGTCAGGTCCCAAAGAAACTCAGGGCAAATGGCTAACTGTGGCGCCCAATAGCATACAAAGTGCATGCAGGCCTCAGGCTTTCTCTACTGTGCACATACTTGTTAAAGTCCTGGCTCCTTTCAGCACTTCTCACCGGCTTCTCCTTCCCCTTAACCTCTCCATGGCCTGAGCTTCCCTTCCCTCCCCCCATTTTCTGATTCCTATATAACTCTACCATTCCAGCCACAAGATCTCTTTGTCCTCTTGTTTCCCTTGGCCTTCTCTCCTCTCTCTCTTCTCGTTCTCTCACTCTCCCCCATCTCTCTCCCTGTTTTGTCTGCTGGCCATGTCTAGTGGACTACTTTCTCTCCCTGCTCTGGATTCTTCCAGATGCTTCTGGCTGTACTCTCTCTCATATCTACAATAAAAACTGTCTCCTCAATTAGACCTTGGAGTGGTCATGTCCTCATTTTTGTTCAATTTTTTTTTTTACTATCTTTACCCTAACTACTTTAGAATCCACTCCATTCTCCATGCACATTGCCGTGTCGGAGCTAGATTATTTTGCTTCCTGGAGAAATAGTAGGTGGAGTATGCATGCGTTTAGAAAGCTTCCATATCTGCCCTTTTTTTTTCTTTTTTCTTTTTGGTTTTTCAAGACAAGGTTTCTCTGTGTAGTTTTGGTGCCTGACCTGGATCTCACTCTGCAGACCACACTGGCCTTGAATTCACAGAGATCCACCTGGCTTTGCCTCCTGAATGCTGGGATTAAAAGTGTGCATCACTACCACCCGCCCCAGGTCTGCCTTTTTTGAGCTATATCAAGGCAAGCAATCAGTAAGACTAAGAGGATAATTTTATTCCAGAACCAAGGTAGCTTTGTGCTATTTTTAGTGGGAAAAATAAATAGATTTTGTTGTCATGAAAGAAAAAGAATTTCATGCCTCTGACACACATTTTGAATGCTATTTTGAGATTCTAAAGATAGGCAAATATTTACTTACTGTAGAACAGAAAGATGGGCTTATTACTTTAATATAGTTTCTCTGTTGTAACCAGAGGGTGCTGAAAGTCAAATTAACTTTACATACTATTACCTAGATTGTGTATCTGTTCTCTTAGCTGATGCATAGAGTGTCTTAGGAAACACCACCCTTTTTTCTTTAACAAATATTATACAGGGCATAGATTTATTGATTTTAAGTTTGCTGATTCTTTTTCACAGTTTCTAATTATGATTTCAACAGGTATTATCTTTTGATGCCTATGTGGAAGATGAAGTGCCTGATAAAAGGCAAGAAAAGTATAGAATAAGATACTATAAAATCTATTTCTACCCTGAAGATGACACCATTCAAGTAAATGAACCAGAAATGATAAATAGCGGACTGCCTCAAGGTATCTATTTAAAACAGCATTATGATTCTTTTGCTTCTAATTCATGCCTTATATATTGTTTGTCTTTAGCTTTTTGAAAGGACCCAATGCTAATACTTGGGCATCTCAGTTATACACAGCAATGAATATAAAAGTGATGCTAGTCTGTAGTTCCTGATAATAATGTATCATATTTCTTTACCTATAACTTACTTATAACTCAACATAGGCCATTTTTCTCCTCTGCCTGTAGTATGCTAATATAGCAAACTCCTGTGTGTCTGTGAACATGTCATCAAACCTTTTGGTTTCTTTGGCATTACTTCATCACTTCATTACATCATCCAGGATGCTATTGCTTCTCCTTTCTTGGGAGAAAAGAAAGAGTTTCTTCCCTGTAAATTTCAGGGTGCTATTGTTTCTTCTTTCTTGAATTTGCTGCCTGCCATTTGTGTCATCCTGGCTCTCCTTATCTGTAGCTTACTAACACTATTCATGGTAATTATCATGACCTTGATATTTGTTTAACTGTGGTAGTTAGTTTTAGCATTACTGTGAACAATTTCTGATAGAAACAACTTAAGGGAGGATGTACCAGAATTGCTCACTGTTTTAGCTCAGCATTGAGGCACAGGGAGCAGGGAGCATAGTGGAGCAGCTGACATTATGATGATCAGCCAGCAGAGTAGAAAACTAGCAGAGGCCAGGACAAGCTAAGACTGCCAATGATATGCCCAATGACCTACTTCCTTCAATTAGACCCCACTTGCTACAGTTCTACGTCCTCCAAAATGATCTACTCAAGTTTTGAATCCATTAATGGGTTAATTCCTTCATTATGGTCTCAGTTATCCTATTTATTAGGTCAAAACTGTCCTAATCTAATAATTCTGGAAATGCCCTCACAGATGTAACCATGATATGTTTTTCCAGTTTCCTGGTGTTTCTGAGTCCAATCAAATGGGCAAGATTAACTACTATAGTATCTCAACAGAGCCCTGTTCCTTCACTCTATGCATGCCTGTAGTCTTTATCTGTATCCCACTTCTGTTGTAGATGAGAGTTAACCCTGTGGCCACAAAGAAGCTGATATTGGAGATCAAAGGAGGTGACATTTCTTTTAGTGCTATGGTTCTTTCTCTGGAGTGAAGATGCTCTCAAGGGGTAGCAACCAGGACAGGGACAGGACCGACAATTTTTCAAGTGTAAGACAGAGCAGTATAAAGGGATGTTTGTAATAGGAAGACTCAAGTGTTCTTGATAAATGTCTTTGATATCTAAGTGAATGCATTATTTAGATGTTGCTTTTCACTAAGAGCACAGTAGGAATATAGAAGGGTAGTTGAGTATTTGGTCTTGGTGACTTCCTAGTGTCTCTTATTCTCCAAAGAGCCATGATTTTTGACTATGAGAGAGAGAGAGAGAGAGAGAGAGAGAGAGAGAGAGAGAGAGAGAGAGAGAGAGAGAGAGAGAGAGAGGAGAGATGTTTTTGGAGTATTGCCACCTGCAATATTTCAGACTTTGAAACTTCCCTCTCTGACTACAATCTCTATCATTTTTCCTTTCCCCATTTCCTCATACTTAACCTACTATCCTGTTCTTGATTTTCAGCAAAATACACATCCATGTCTTTTCTCTTTGCTGTTACTCAAACTTAATGGTGTTCTCATTGTTTGATTATGGGAATGGGACAATGGCTTACCATGGACTCCCTGTCTATAATTTCCATTTCACTCATTAGCTGTTCTTTATGTGGCAGCTTAGATAGTACCTTGAAGTAGTGCTGGCCTCCAAGAAGTATGTAGACAGACTCTCCCACAGACCAACAAAGAAAAGGATCATGGGCCAAATTTAAATGAGTGAGTCACATAATGCATTAAAATAATTTAAAATGCATTGCGAGGGCTGGGAATGTAGCTTAGTTATAAAGCCCTTGCCCAGCACATGCAAGGCCCTGGTTTCCATCTCCCACACTGCAAAATCAAACCAACTAACCAAACAGACTGATATTGGGGGAAAATGCAGTGAGTAGCAGGGGAAAGACACTTTGGACCAAGTGTAAATTGAAGAAAAGTGTACTCTGTCTGAGCACTGGGGCACACAGTAACCCCCACACCTCCACTCTGTGAGCCTTGCTAGCAAGTAGTGTGGTTTACAGACCAATATTGAGGGTTAAACAAGGAGAACTACAGACAGGAGGAGCTTTGGGCCAAAGGTTCACACTTACTCAGATGGATCAATATGAGGATGTGTATGCTTGACCACAGCATGAGCTCTCCAGTAGTCCTACTGATTAGTAATAGGTTTTGTGTTTCTTGGGCAGAGTGCACTTGGGGCCAAAATGGATGTCACCAATGAATGAGTGGCCGAATTAAGGTCTCATGAATATTGAGTACTCATGAATATTTAGTGACTTGTATATTTAGTGTACATGAATATTTAGAGCCCAGGTGCCTCATATATATTTAATATTTACTGGAAGTTCATTGTTTTAGTCTTTCCATCCTTCCTTTCTATATTTAATACATACATTTCCTACTTGTTATATCTTATGACTTCTTCCCATGTTGAGTAAGATTTTTGCTTACTAACTACTTATTTAGGCCTAATTAATTCCTCTATAGTGATTTAAAGAGGAAATTGGGGTGTATTCAGGCTTCTGAAAAAAATCAAGGATTTTTTTTTTTTTGCCTGATAGTGTAGCTTTATTGTGTCTGGTATATGGAATGATGAATTTGGAGCCAGTCAACACTGACTGCCGAGAGGTATTTGGTGAATACCTATCTTTGTAAAGCCAAGAATGGAGGATAGAACATGAAGTTTGTTGCTGTGGTGTGTTGAGAGGCATTACACCTTCAAAGGACTGTTGTGACATCTACATGATGATACTCACCAGGCAGTTAGAACCTTGTAGGGAAAAATAAAACCAAGACTAGAAACCAGGATTGGGAATCAAGCACCCAGATTATAACCAGAATCAGCCCGTTTCCTTTTTTTTCCGAGAGTGAGCAGCCACATTACTCTGCATCTCAGCTCCTACACTCTCTATTCTCTGATCAATATTAATGATTGTACGGTAAATATTTTAATAAATACAAAGATACATTAAAAATAAAAAAGGGTCAAGCAGTGGTGGCACATGCCTTTAATCCCAGCACTTGGGAGGCAGAGGCAGAAGGATCTCTGTGAGTTCAAGGCCAACCTGGCCTACAGAGTGAGATCCAGGACAGCCAGAGCTGTTATACAGAGAAACCCTGTCTCGAAAGATCAAAAATAAATAAATAAAATTTAAAGAAGGTTTTCACAGGCTTCAAGGGTAAACATGGGACATTTTATTTTGTGAAGGGACAAGCAGTTTTAGACTACTGGGGATCATTTTTTCAAATGTAAAAAAGTATTTAAAAATTGGCAAGGCCGGGTGTAGTGGTGCACACACAAGACAGAAGCAGGCCAGAGTTCAAGGCTAGCCTGGTCTATGTAGTTAGCTTCAATACAACCAAGACTCTGTAGAGAGACCTTGTCTCAAACAACCAAACAAAAACCCAATAATAACAACAAAATAATCAGCAAATATATATTAGAAATGTTTGAAATATTGAACATAAAGAGAATATTACAACATTTTATTTTTGTGACTGTGTGTTAGTATTAGGTACATGGACAGTTATTGCTTTAGCAAAAAATACTTTCTAAAGATTTATTTTTATTTGCATTAGTGTTTGCCTGCATGTATATATGTGTACTACATGTATGTCTAGAGCCTGTGTAGCCCAAAGAAAGCATTGAAATCCCCTGGAATTAAATATTGGAGTTAAAGATAGTTGTGAGCTGCCATGTGGGAGCTGGGAAATGAATTTGTGTCCTCTGCAATAGCATGATGTGCTTTTAACTGCTGAGCTGTCTTTGGCTCTAAAATATTCTTTCTTCCAGGCCTTTCCTTACATATTTTGCTCTGGTGTTCCCTAACCAAGCTTTGTTTACTTTTGGATTACCTTTCCTACTGTGACACACTTGCACAAATAGGGGACTTGACATTACAATATACCCCAAACTTGGATTATTTGCTTGGATTGTTTGATTTTATTATTACTTGTGCATGTGTGCAGGCATATTTGTTTGTGGAGGGAGGCCACAGATGAACTTCAAGTTCTTCTTTCAATTTTTTTCCTTATTTTTTATTATCGTTTTTGAAACATAGTCTAACTATGTATCTGTGGATATGGCCCGGAATTTGATATGTAGACCAGGGTGGTCTTGAACTCATGGAGATCCCCCTTGCCTCTGCCTCCTGAGTCTTGGAATTAAAGATGTATGGCACCATGCCTGGCCACCTTACTTTTTGACACAGGCTCTCTAATTGAACCTGGAGCTCACTGATTCATCTAGGCTAGCTGGCCAGCAAGCCTCAGGGATCTTTCTGTCATCACCGCTATAGCTCTGGGATCTAGACATGTGCTACCATGCCCAGTTTTCTTTTGTTTTGTTTTGAATATGGTTGTTAAGGATTGGAACTTGGGTCCTCAAGCTTGCATGACAAGATTTTTACCTATTGAGCCTTCTCCCCACCCTGTTCTTTATTAAGGTTTTAGATAAAAACTTACATTCTTGAAGTTTAGTGGCCCTTGTCTAGTACTTTTTTATTTCATGAAACTAAGAACTGTCAAATGCAACCTCTACAAGGATTTTAGAAAACTATATTTTTCTTAATTTCAGAGCTCACAAAAGCTGATTTTCATGGCAAGTCATAATGATTTACTTGAAAATTATTTTTATGTGAGGAGGAAGGAATCTTATTCATAAAGACTTAGGGGAAAGAACCCTGAGCAAAAGACTATTTTAAATGTCCCTGAAAAAAATCAGTACTTCTGGTTGGCTTATTGTGACATTTTGTTGGTGAAGATGCAGCTCAGAGGTTGTGGACAGTGTACACAGTAATCACACTGTATAATGATATTGAGTTTGTCAACAGAGTGGAGAAACCTGGTGGGCTGTAACAAATCCTATCAAAAACAAGCACAAAT